GTGGAGGGCAGGGGCTGGCGCGATCCCAACAGCCTTGCCGTGCCGCTGGCTGGAGGATGAGGGGCAGAGGTGTAAGAGCGGGGCTGGCCCCTGCGACAGGCGACAGCTTGCTCTTTTGCAGGAACAGCCCTCCCACGCTGGTGCTGCCTGCAGAGAGAGCGGGAGCTGGGGCAGTGCCGGTGCTCTCGGGAGCAGCAGCGCACCGGCACGCCGGGAGAGGAAAGCTGGGATCGCTTTGCACCTTCCCACTGAGGTACTGCTCTCCCCGGTTTTGCAATGTCTAGAAGAGAAATAACATTTCTACATGAGCTAAGCCCACAGAGCACTGCCTGGCTGCAGGAAAACCCCTAGAAACCCATGACCGAGGAGATGCCTGGAGCTAACTCAGGCTATCCTCAGATGACCTCACATTGCAAATTCCTAGGGCTCTGGCTATTTATAAATGCCCCGATAAGGCTAGAGTTCAAGAATGCACTAACGTTTATAACTACAGAGCCAAGTCACCCTCTCAGCCATCTTCCTTGTGCCAGGGAATTCAGAGAGGGTATTTGCTATATGAGCGTGGTCAAAATCGGCCCCCAAAATAATTTGGTGCAACAATATGCTGAAGAATACATTAACTCCTGGAAATCCCTATTCAGGCTAATAGCTGCGGTAGATCTGGGCTACTGAAGCAAATGAAACTCGCCTTATCCAGGAGCTGTACTCGGGGGGAAGAGCTGCAGGATCGAAGGTCAGTATAATCCAGCACAGAAACCTAACGTGATGGTGGTCTGTCACGAGGGCTCCTGCACGCCCAGGATCACAAACTGCAGCTCTAACTCTTGCCCTCCTCTACATTTGCTATTAACGCTGCAAACAAAATACCAGCTGCAGCGCATGCCAGCCTTATTGCTTTGGAACACCACCTTCGCCGGGTTTGCTTTTAAAAAAGAGTTACACAGTGGTAAATTTTAAAAAAAAAAAAAATCTGCCACCTAGTGGCAAAGAAATTTCTTTTGGGGAGATGCTGATGTGAGCACGTATTGCTGTGTTAATGGTAGTTTTCCAAAGCTATTTTCACTTAGCAAACTCTCATCTAAGTGGTATTTGGAGGGTACAGATTTTGAGAATGCTTTGGGGCATGTCCCAGGGTATTTACAGCATGTAGGTATTCGCAAAACTAAGTGACTATTTGAGTGCTTTGCTTCTATTATGGAAAAAGTCCTGAAGATGCTCCTACCAGCCCAGACTAGCATTTCACAGGATGTAAAATGAATTAGGAATTTTCTTCAGAATGCCCCCTAAGATGTGCCTCCCAGCCTGCAAATCCTTTTTGAATTTAAACACTGAGTCTTAATCAGTAGGAAAAAATGGCTATTTGTGGCTCATTTCTGTAAGACAAAAATATAAACCAAGCAGGTTTTTTCCTAACTCTTCCTTTAATAACTGAAGCGTGCTTCACCCTGGGTGTTTCTTCATGTCCCCCGGGCTGCCATGCCAACCTTCTCCGCGTCTTCAGCATGAGGAGGAGCAGGACAGGCCACCCTCCCAGGCTGCAGCCTGCAAAGGGGGGACGGGACCCCTTCAGAGACCTGTAGGGCTGAGAGTGAAATGACCATCCGGCAGGAGAACCTCGTGCAATGCAGCATCAGAAAGATACAGAGACCCTTCTGTCTTGGGAAGACAATAAAAGAGCCAACCCTGTGTTTCTACCCCCTTACACTGTATTGATGGGGTAGAGATGGAATTACTGTGGCCAGTCCTGGTGGCCACCTTTGCCGAGGGCACTGAAAACTTGAAAAGGGGGGCAAGAAAGCTAAAAATGTTGAAGAGTTGAACACCAGGTCTTACAATGAGAAACTTCAGAATTCCAAGATTGAAAAGTGACTTGCTTGCAATGTAGGAGGAGTTCATAGCTGCTACTGAGTTACTACAAAGTCAGCTTCTGAGGGCTTTTGCCATCTGGCAGAGAAAAAAAAGAATGAACTGATGATGCCAGACAATCTCATGTTAGTAAAAAGGCATGACACTTAATTATAAGGAGGTTAGCCGTTGGAGAAAAATACAAAGAAAGGTGCTGGAGTATGACTCCTGAAGTCTTCAAACAGACTAGATACCTTCCTGGAAGTTAGACTTCGGGCAGTTTATTTGTGGTATAAGACAATATAAGAGTAGATTAGGCCAGATGATCTGACAGTGCCTTCTAGTCTTGAAATCTGGGAATGAAGTCATCTCTGTCAATAAAGTCTTGCTTGCTCAGGAGTGTAATTTGGTGTTAGGAGCCTAATTTAGGAGTTAAGTGTGAAGAACATGTGTTAAAGGATGAGCAATAAGGATAAGAGCAGTCATAGCCAGCCCTATGATCACTGAGGGACTCAATATATTCTGCAAGTCTGAAGTCACGGGTAGACGGGAGGTGTTGAAATATGTTTCTTTTCTGCACGCTTAGACAGCTTCTGTAGAAATAGTTACGAAGTGAGAAGACTGTATCCCAAAGGGGTTTCAGTTTTATTACTCAGTGGGTTGTTTTGTAAGAAGATGGTCTTCTCTGGTGGTCTGTAGCATCCCCAGTGCCCATCCCTGCTGCCTGCTCTCACAGGAGGCTCCCTTGCAGCCTCCTAGTTGAGCTATGGCTCATTTCTAAATGTCCTCAACCAACATCAGCAGACTCAGGCTACCTGTGCATAGGCAGCCTTTCAATACATCAAGAGGGCTTATAAGAAAGATGGAGAGAGACATCTTACCAAGGCCTGTAGTGACAGGACAAGGGGTTTTTAAACTGCAAGAGGGCAGATTTAGATTGGACATAAGGAAGAAATTATTTATGATGACGGTGGAGAGACACTGGACCAGGTTGCCCAGAGAAGTCATGGATGACCCCTCCCTGGAAGAATTCAAGGTCAGGTTGGACGGGGCTCTGGGCAGCCTGAACTAGAGAAAGATGTCCCTGCCCACAGCAAGGGGTTTGAACTAGGTGATCTTTAGAGGTCCCTTCCAACCCAAACCATTCCATGGTTGTATGGTTCTATACTGATCCAGCTACACACCAAGCCCATAAAGCTTAAAATTTGTTAACAGCTGTTTTTTAAGTGCTAGCTGGATGCTGAAAACATGCCAGAAGCAGCCCATTTCTTGCACCAAAGTTAAATTACCCAGCTAGTTATGGCAAAGACAAACTGATCCTCAACCAGTTGCTGGGATGTTTGACTGAAGGAGCTGTTTCATGGTGCTGGTGATTTTGGGGAGATGCTTGCAGTGAGCTGGCCTAAGGGGCTGTGCTTACTTGACAGGAGGCCAAGGTGCTGCTGACTTCACCAGTCTGGTCCAAATGGCATCGAATTGACGCATAGGGCTGCTCTTAGCCTTTTGAATGCATGGACAGGGACAGGTTTGCTCCTTGCCGGAGCGTGTCTCCAGCCGGGAGGAGAGGAGCAGAGAGTGGCGGAGCCGGGGGTCCCCCCCAGCCATGGTACTCCCAGCTGTTGACCTGCTGCTCTGTAACCCGTCCCCTCTGATTTCACCACCTTCATATGATGAATGTAAATTGTGAAAGCAGGGCTGGCCATTTGCAGGCTGAAAATAAAGGACTGGCTTTGTTTTCTTTAGGCGTGTTTCCAGGGTAATATCCCCTTTGCAGCAGCGGGTGGGAGCCCTCGGCACCGCAGACCCCTCGGCTGCCAGAGGCATGTTGACCCAGAAGCGTGGGGGTCCCGTGGGGGCAGGGGTCCCTCTGTGCGACAGCGGCCAACTGCATTTGGCAGCCAGGCTAGTGGCAGGGGGTGACACCCCACTTCTGAGGGGTTTCAAGTGGGCAGCACACCTGCATGGTGCTGGCCTGCACGCTGCCCACCCTCTCTGCTGACAGGTTAGTTAATGTCAGAGGTTCGTTTCTGCATCAGCACACCCTCAAGCATTAGGTCCCCCACCAGGAAAACCTGCCGCAGGGGAGTGCGCCCCAAAAAGAGGTGGCAACATTCCTCCGCCTGGCCCTGGCGGCTCATGAAGCCTGAACCAGGTGGTGCTCACTGGAGAGACAGCTTGCCCCGGCAGCTTGCAAATGCAGGCATCAAGTATATCGTCTTGTTACGTGCCTTTCTGCAGTGAAAGCTAACGCTGCTTCCCACAGGAGTGCGTGGCCAAGCGCTGAGGCCAGGGCAGCAAATGCAGTCCCCCTGCAAGGCTGTCCCCTGGTGTCACCCCCGTCCCGCTGATCCTGCTGGTCCCTGTGCTCAGGGAGAGGGAGGGCTGCAGTTGTGTGAGGTCCCACTTTGGACCTTAAATTTTTTGTTAACATTACCTTGAAGAAATTATATTGACAATTCTCTCCCTCTTCCAACATGAGAAATGTTTCCTTACTCATCTGGAGCTATTGATTCTCTCCTGAGCTACAGCAGGAAATACTTTAGTCATCCCCTCCTCTGCTGGTAAGCACTCTGCCATAGTCCCAACATCTTCTAAGGAAAAGCTCTCTGTCCTTCAACCGTGACTCTTCCCAGCCAGGCAGCCTCTGCAAGAACCAAACCAAGGGGACAAACAGCACAGCTCATTTTTTCAGGAGGACGCTCCTCCCCTTGAGGTGTTTATTATTGAGGTTTTCTACCTAGAAATATCATACGGCTCAAATGGAAGTGATGGGATTGAGAGAAGTGTCCTTATTACAGAAATGTGACTAATCATAAATGGTGCCATTCAGCCTTTAAAAACCCATGAAATTCTTTGCAACAGCAATACCTGACCTGAACTACGCTGCCTCCAGCCGTGCCTTTGGTACCCAGCAGAAGACCACAGCTAAGTGTGCCCAAAACCATCTTTGCATTTCCCTGTTGGCACCCCCGCCTTTGGCCCATCAAACCCCTTTGAAATGAGGCTCACACACACCTGCTCTGAGTGCTGCCTTTTATTTCGGAAGAGGCCCGCAGAGCTGCTGGTGCACAGTAAGCGGGGCAGACCTAGAGCCATCGGGGAGGAGGGATGTGGCAGAGGAATGACCGTGCCTGGGTGCTGCTCCCTGCTGCAGCTCAGCGGCTCAGGGGACAAGGGTAGCACTTGCGTGCCGTTTCGATCTTCACAACGCCATTCGGTCCCAGCGAGTAGGTCACCTCGTCCTCCCTCAGCCCCGGCGGCAGGCTGATTTCCTTCATGATGTTTCTGTAGTTATACTCCTTTCCTCTTGAGGTGGTGCGCTCCTCCTTGTGCTCTGCTAACACCTTCACCTTCCCGTCTTTCACTGTTACAGTGACTTCCTTGGGGTCAAAACCCTCCACAACCATCAAAGCCAAGAGCTTGTGATCACGGGAAGAGTTCATCATCCTGTTAAGTCTTCTTTGCATGCTGGAATAAAAACAAGAGGAGAGCCTTTCAGTCCAACTCATAGAGGAAGGGGTGGACCGCCTTGAGGACAAGAGAAGTAAATAGGAAACTGTTGGATCCATCTTTGTGCTGACGTACAGCACATGGGGTGGTGTCTGCACCGTCACAAGGAGCTCCCACCTGCACTCTGCAGCAGTCAGGAGTATTTCAACGTGCCCTCTCGGGATGGGGCAATTGTGGAGCTGAAAAGTTCTTTCACCTAAATATAGAGAAGCCAGCGCTCCTCTTTCACATGTACATACACCCACTAAGCCATGCGTGTCCATCTTATGCATTGTCCTACATTTTGAACGGATAGTTACAATAGATCACATTTTCCCGTTAGGAGTTTTGTTTAAAGCAATCAGTGGATGAGACACATCTGGCAAAAAAACCCAAAATGCTCCAGCAGAGCTGGGCTGGAGGCTTACTGAGCCATTAAAATGATTTCTAATACTGTCAAACAGTGACTCTGCTCAACCAGAAGGCTGGCTCTTATTCAAACCATTTGTAAAATACACAATGGAAGGGTCACCTGAATTCTAATAGCTAAATTGGACACAAGACACCAAATTAAAAAGATAATGTGTGTGACGGAAGAGGAAATAGGGCAAGCAATGAGGGAACGGGCATGACCACTAAGGTGAGAGGTCCCTAACGAGTGGTTCGTTAGCAAGGTACACCCGTTTCAGCAATCCTATTTAAAGCCTGCAATGATTCAACATCATGTGGTGATTTTGAGATGCATTTTCTGTATTCTGTGAGAAGTGGCTCCTCTACCTGCCCCTTTGGTCTTTTTATATTGCTGGTCAGAGGAGCATAAATATGCTGGGAAGAGTCATTCAGGCCATTTTGGGCATTTTTTTATGGGAAGGAGATGGTTGAATTCCCCAGTGTAATGGGCTGAAATCCTGCTGTGGCGTGGTTTCAGATGCCAGCCGTATGGACTCGTGTTAAAACTTGGGAGTTGTCCTGAATGTGGCAGGGCCAGGGAGCTTAGCACTCAGGGAGAGCATGCCCCAGCATCCCAGCGCCTGTCTGGAGACCTCCCAGCTTTCATTCAGACTGAATTTCCATTCCTTCACTGGGATTTTGGAGTTCAGTTCTTCTGCAAGGGGATGCTGTGCCTGCCCAGCTCTGATACCCAATGCACTGATGAAAATCTGGACATGGATACCAGCCACCGTAGCACCTGGGGGCCTGGATCCAAAATCGGCTACTCAACAGCCCTGCATGAGCCACAGTCACAGGGTAAGCTTAATGTAACCTCACAGCAACTTTTGGTTTTGCTGAAGTGTAAAATTAACCCAGGAGTCATGCTTTTTTCCTTTTTCCTCTAACTTTATTGCACCCACTAGATAACTCACGTGGCAGACTGTGGGCCGATACTTGCTGCTCTATGGGTTAACAAAAATGTCACATTTTTAATTGCCAAGATGAAGGTCTCATCCTCTCCAGGCACAACACAAGAGAAATCAAACAGAAGCTTGAGTTTGGGGAGAAAATACCAATGCCACAAATGCAGCAAGAGACTCTCACTGCTGCTGCTGACTGAGGGACTTCTTAGCCCTTCTGGTCTCTCAATGTTTGGTTGTGCCTTAACCCAACTGGTATGGTTTTATCATTCAACAGCTCCCTCCCTGTGAGGCTACCTTTGGGTTTTATCTCTACTAGAGTCAATCTTGAACTCCATTAACAAAATAAAATCATCACACCAGTGGCCAAAATGGAGATGTAGAAATCCCGACACTTATTCCTCCTACTGTACGAGGCGGGAAAATACGGACACACATCTGTGGTGCATCCGTGCTGCACCCCACCGCATCCAGGCACATTTTCGCTACTGGTGAAGATAATAACATGTTTAACAGACTTAAACTGAATTTGTGTTGAAGATGGACTTTGTTCCACAGCTGAACAGCTTTGGATCTAGTTGTGTACTTTAGTTTGGACACAGTTTGCACGATGATTAATGTCACAGCGCCATAGTCCAAACCCCTTCTGGCGCGGGCGCTGCCCGCGTGGCTCTCAGGCTGCCTGGCTGAACAAGCCGCGCCTTCCCATTCCCCTTTCAACTAATTTCTCTGCAAACGGCTATTTCTCTCCTGTTTGCTTATCTGTTTCCACCTTTGCTCCTGATACCGATGCCAAATCTCCCTTCACCCTGCCGTAAAGGATGCTGATGCCGGTGGAAAGCAGGTAGGCATCTGTTACCTGCCCAGTTCTCGCTCCACATCCAGCCTTGCGGTGAGGGCCCTTCTCTCCCAGGAGCAGAGGTCGGGCTGGCGCAGGCAGCAGGGGCACAGGGCCCGGCTGCGTGGGCAGGATGCAGGCAGCTCCTCGCGGAGCTGCTGCAGGTGCCGGTCCAGCAGCCTCATCTGCCTCCGAATCTTTCTCTCCACCTGCCTCAAACCCTGCTTGGCGTCTTCCAAAAGGCGACTGTGCAACGACATCGTCACACTGCAAATCAGGGCACAAGCGCGGCCGTAGCAGCCTGCACTTGCTGGGGGGGGAAAAATTGCCTCGAGAGTTTTGTGTGGAGGTGGGTGTGTGAGTGGAGCCACAGGTGCTCTTGCAGCCTTCCAGCAGGCACCTTATGACATCATGCGCCTGCTGACACATCACAGCTCTGCAGTCGCCACGGGAAGCACAGCCCGGGTCCGTGCACAACTGCACCCCACTGCTGCAGCTCCCACCCGTGGACCAGGGAGCCCGTGGCAGGGTGACACGCTGTGGGGCTTGGGGCATGGCAGGGGTATGTGTGCAATGGCCTGGCAGCAGAGCCGCAGGCCAGCAGGAGCGTGACTTGGGTACGGTTTCATGCACAACGTTGCTTCAGCATGGCTGCCCGCACTATCCCCCACCTCTCCTGCCCGGGCACACCAGCACCGAGGGAATGCAAGCTGCCCCTCTCCACTCCCAGGCAGAAATCCCCATGGACAAAGCCCAGGTCTCCACTGAAGCTCTTCAGCGTGGTCTCCTCTTGAAAATTGTGGAGATTCCCATTCCCAGGTCCTGACCACTGCTGCCTTGGGAGACGGGAAACACGCACCCGGCATCAGGGTGCTGCCAACCTGCTGCAAAACTGCAGCCCCCTGCAGCCTTCCTCTCCTCGCTGTTTTGCTGCTGTTTACCACAGCGTTAAAGAACACGTGTAAATTAAGGGCAGCTGCAATTGCTCTTTATGTTTTTTCCTCCTTTTGCCAAGTGCTTTGCACAAAGTGTTGGACGTGTGATGCCTACATACATTTTTCACTGACACCCAGCATGGTGTTAAGCAAAGGCCACGAGAAGCCTTGGCCTGAATATGCGTCAGGCTGGTCTGCGGGGCGCTGGCACCCCCGGGAGCACCACCGGCCCCCAGTGAGTGCCAGGGAAAGGCGAGGTGCTCACAGCAACACCCACACACCATCTCCCCAGCGGAGCATCCCACCTCCTCATCCTGCCAACTCTCTTTTCCTGGGGTTTTCTCCAGTGGCTACAAGTTTCAGATGCGACTTCAAACCCGCTGCTCCCATCAGGAACTTCTCCCTCTGCCTGTTAGCTCTCTGCCTTTTTTTTTTTTTTTAATGGGAAAGACATGGCAAATAGTTAAAAATGTGCAGAAATGGGAGGTTCTCTTTACATCCCTTACTGACAGCTGCAGTTGAGGTACTTCTGGGAACACTTTGAGAACATGCACCTTCAAAAATATTTATGTTGCGCTCTCACACCATATTAAGCAAACAAGGCGCTAAGAAAAGCAGACCCGGGTATTTGCTTCCCCCCCTTACAGACGTTACTCCTCATGAGGATTTCGGTCAATGGAAGACAGCAAAAAGGATGCTGCATCCCACAATTATTTTACAGAGAAGGAGACAGGGCACGTGTGTTGCGTGCACTCAGGGCACTGCTGCAAGCACTTATCCGAGCTGACAGTTTTACCTTTCCAGCTGCTGTCTGTGCTGGGGTCTGTTGCCTGCTCGCTCAGCGAGCTTGGGCAGGGGTGCCACAGTCATCGGCTCCCGCCTTGAGGACTTCTGAAGCCATCGTGCCCTGTCAGGCTGTTGCAGCAGTTTTTCTTGAGAATGCCCCACATGGGTTTCAGTGTCAGTGATGCTCGTGGCATGGATGGATTTGCTTGGCTCCCTGAAAGGTGCCTGTGCTGTACTTTAATCACAAGCAGCATTGACGCCAAAATCTCCTGGGTCTCATACTGCTAGAAAAACTAAGAGAAGACTACAGGAGTGGGGAGTGCTTCATATTTTGGGGAAATCTGGTCTTTAAGGGCTTGCAGTGGATTGAGTATCAGTGGGAATGCATAGTCCCCGTGTATTTAAGACAGCAGGAGAACACCCCTCGGGAGCCTGGGAGCTGCTCTACCTTGCTGGTACCTTGCCACAGAGGAAGAGCCTTCCACAATTATTAGCTGTATCCAAACGTCCAAGTAGCCCCAGACAAGAAAATGTCCCCTGCAGCCTCCAAGGAGGCAAAGCCGAGCTGGCCCCCGGGGCTGCTGCTGTGGGGCTGCCTGCTGACTGCCTGGAGGGAGCCAGACCTGCTGGCAGCCGAGCGGGGAGTGCGAAAGGGGGATGCCAAGAACCACAAAGGGGAGCAGGTCACGTCTCAGGTTGGACAAAAATATGTGAGGCTTCTTGTTGGATGTCGCTCGCATTCAAACATTGGTGTATCATATGCAAGAATAAATTAAAACATTCAAATAACTTTATATACCTAATTACATTTACATATACCAGCATTGAAAAACCCTTGTTAAAAGCCAAATGCTTAATACATACGTACAAAGCAAAACTTCTTAAGAACCCCCAATTCCCAGCAATGATACTCACCATCAGCTTCCGTCCCATCATCTCTGGTAAGTGCTGTAGCCCAGGACATGAACCATATTCCCTCAGACTGGCCTGTGACACAAAAGCTGATCCCAGCCTTGACAGCATCAACACCATCGTCTCTCAGGCATCTGCAGTCTGGTGAGCTGGATGATGTGTTATTTTCCCAAGGCGAAATATGAGTTTGGCTTTTCAATAAATCAAAACAGCCAGCTAATTTTATATTGAATGGTAGTTTCATCCAGACAAAAAGAATTCTTTATGCTTTATTACTCATAACAGGCATCGCTTTTTCAGTCTGAAGACAAATCTTTTATTTAAAAGCTGAATTCAAAGGCTGCCAACGTGTGAAGGGTCCCTCCTGTATGAAGTCTGTATACCTTTCTGATGGCAGTATTTTGTCTTTAAAACTCTGACACTCTCTAGTCTCTTTGGCTCCACATGAAAGAGTCTTTCAGGAGGTCTCTCTTGCATGGTGAGAGTCTGCATCCTTTATTTCACAGAGGAAGTTTTGTTTGCCAAGTCCCATCTCTGAAAAGATGACATCTGGAGCAGACCACGCGAACCAAGCATTGAGCTAAATTCTCTTCAGAGTCCTGCGGGTATGGACCGCAGGAGCTGTTACGAAGCAAAGATGCTGAACACAAGGATGTGTGTCAAAATAAAATTTCTACAGGCAAAGCAACAGCTTGAAAATGATTTGAAGAAAACCTCCCTGACGCATTAAATCAGGGGATTTGAGGATTCACCACATACCCCACAGGAGAGCAGGGAGGTTCTGCAGGCAGGGGTGCCCGTGGGGTGCTGCCTTCTTTGGGATGCATTTTTGTGCCAGGGGATGTGAGCTTTTCTCTGCAGGCATGCTCACCCAGGGAGTTTGTTCCCAGACCTGGAGAGCATCAGCATGGCCCATGACCTTGAGCACTGAGCACCTGCATGCAAAATAGACGCAGAGGGCATCACCACACATGCTACGTAGGACAGGTCAATGTCTGTGGACACGAATCAGCTGAGCAGAGATTTGCTGAGCTGCTGCTCTCCTCCTCTGCCCCTCTTCCCATCCCACTATCACAGGCTGAAGTGCAGTGTGCGGCACTGCTCCTGGCATGTGGTGGCCCTGCTTCGGCAACAGTGCCTGCTTTTCCTTGTCTTACTGTGTCCCAAAAACTCCTGGGAAATCCTGCAGTAGGACGATATGCCGCGTCAGCGAGTGGCCTCTGTGGAATCAGTTAACTGTGGAATCAGTTAACCCAGGGGTAGCAACACTGGTTTACAAAGATATCCCAAAACACCTCTGCGCAGAGCTGCTCATTCCCAAGGGCACTGTCACACCAACTGCATATCTTCACTTACATTTTCAATCAGTGTTTAAAAATCATAAAAACCTAGCTGCAGGCAGGACATTTTTTTAATGCTCTGAAAACTGGGATGTAGTTTTTAAGCCAAAAGGAAATATACAGCTCTGAAGGTAATTTGTAGCCTTGTTTCCCTTTATTGCAGCAGCGAAGCAAGAATTGTATGCTGGCAGTGGGCTTTTTTCATGTCTCTGCTGCTGTTTTTAGTTAACCCCCACAAACTTTAAACTTTGGTCTTCCCTGTGCAAATCATTCCCTTTGCATTTGTGGAAGGGTGGCTACACTAGCCAACTTAATAGTTACTTTTCATCTTATGCTTTATGATCTTTCTATAAAGATCTACATGGTGATAATCCTTACTGTGACTTCCTAGGGGCCGAGCAGAAGTGTGCACCTGCTTTGGCTGTGACAAGTGACTATCTTGATTGTATGTACTTGAAAACAGTTTTGGAAGGCGGCTGCTGCCTCTTTCTAGCATTTAGCACTGTTTGCAGATTACAACAGCTATTATAAATTTAGTTTCAGTGTTCTCAGTCGTACGTGACTATTTCCAGTAGTGTCCCTCTAGAGTTTACTGTCTGTGGATGTCATTTTTAGGAAAGGGTCCTCAAAAGCATTCAGAGAAGAAAGACTGATCTGGCTCTCTTGGCAAACAATGGCAGCGGATGGGTTGCCTAGTATCCTTTTCCAGGCTTTCAGTCCCTTTGGGTGCTGGCATTATAGAGAAACCCATGGTCTTAGTGGTTCAAAGCAGTCAGATCCCACCTCAGCCTGGTACATAAAAACCAGCAAATGTTAACAATAAAAATCCCTGAATTACTGATGTCACCTGCTCCTAGTACAGTGAGAGAAATGGGGGACAGGCTGGAAAGAGAGCAACCTGCCCAGGTGGGTAAACCATAAAGATAAGGTTTGTCACCAACCACCGTTTGGGGGGGAAATGTGTGACTCGATATTGATACCACAACAGCGGCAGATTGGATGGAACAAGTTTTTTCCTTACAGATGCCAAGCCAATGGTCTGGGACCCTGTGATGAATGGAGATGCTAGCAAGTCCTTTTGAGCCCAGGCTTGACATATCTCAATGGGCTGGAAAGATGTACATAGATGACCCACAAGCTGACTTCAGTTTTTGGATAAACACTCCAAGCCATCCAGAATGTGGGTCTTGCCTCCCTCTACCTTCTCTCTGCCTTTTTCCCAGCCTTCTCTCATGGTCTTGCTTCTCTCTGAAAAGACTGTGGTGTAGCTGGCATCTTCTGCAACAT